CTGGTGTCTCATAGTGTGAAATATTTGATGTAGTGCAGAGTTAAGACTGGAAAAGCTTAACGGTGTTTACAGTTAGAGCTTGCTAGTACATATGAACGTATAGCAAAACACTACTGTTTGTTGGCAAAAAGGGAACACGAGACAACCTGTGCTGGACAACTGACGAAGTCTTGTGGATTATGTATACAGGGGACTATAAAGCAGTGAAAGTATAGAAAGGACTTTGGAAAAAAATACAACTTACTTCTAGCGCTGGTTTTGTTTTTTCTTTAAATTTAATTTTTTTTTTTCCCAGTCAGTTTTGCAGATCATATTTTTCCCTCTCCGGTACTTGAGTTGTAATCAGTTACAATTCCAGTGTTATTTTTGTTGTTTTTCGTCACTTAGTGTAGGAGAGGACGTGGTTGGTGCATGAGGATACTGGAAAAGCATGAGGGTCCCTGAAACTCCTTGTGAGCACTGCAGATGTATCTGAAAATACTGAATGATTTTGTGATTAAAATGAGAGATTACTTTCAGCACAGATGAATGCCGAGCAATGAGGAGGGGACAAAACAGACTTCTAGGCAAAACTGTGCCTATAGGAAAACATAAAACCATGCCTGGACAATGACTGGTTCCTGGCTACGTGTTACTGCTCAGGAAAAGGGCATTGGGTTTGTTTTGGGTAGCCTTCTGCAAACACCTGCTCAGTACTAATTTAAAAAAAACACAAACAAAACCAAATAAATTGTTAGAAATTATTATGGAAAAGCAGTAGAGGACAAAAGAGAAGGCTCGAATATGCCACATTATAAATCCCCATGTTGAATATTGTGTGCCATTGGACCCTGTTCCAAGATTTAGTAGAAGAGGAAAAGGCATGGAGAAGAATGACAGGCTTGGGCTGGCTTCTGGAAGAAGAAAGGATAAATAAGATTGGGACTAATCAATCTGGAGAAGGGATATGATGAAAGGGGTGAAGAAAGTGAAGATGGACGTTGCAGAACTTACTGCAAAAAGATACTTTGGAAGACAAAACCGTAGTGGTTTCAGAAGTAAATTGGACAGTCCTGTGGGGGATAAGGATTTAATTACATGGGTTTGGGTGCATCCTATGGCTCTGGGCATGCAAACTTTAGGAATCCCTAAATTTCTGGTGGCTGGAGTTGGGGAAAATACTCAGCATCGTTCAGACCTCCTGTCTTCTTATGCTCATTCCTTAGACATCTGTGCTAAGCCTTTCAGGAACAGCGTACTCTGTCAGACAAACCTTTGAATTAAGAGTACTGGCACTAGTACATGTGTACTCGAAAAGAAGTGTGCAAAAGAGGCTTGGCTGTCGTTAGAGCACCTGTTGCGATGTGTCCCCAGTATTGTTGCAGGGAGGGGAGTGTTCATACTCAAGGCTTGCTATGTAAGCTAAACTGAACTTCTCAAGAATTTGGGAGACAGTAAGAGTGAGGCACGAATAGCTTAGAGAGGAGCTTGGGATTGTAACTTTTGGATTGTTGTGTGTTACTTGTTTTGTTTTTAACTCTGTTTATATGTCTGCCACCGTGCATTTTAATTGTTATCCCCCTCATATTTTGGAGAGGTGGCTTTTTTTCTGTCTTCTGCCAGTGGAATGGGGATGATGATACCTTTGCTGTTCTGCCCCTTTTCCAACTTCTGTATTTTGTCTGTCTTCCTTTTGAATAAGACCAGTTCCTTTCTTACCTGTTGCCCATAGCTTGCTTTTTTTTCTGTAAGAGCAGCTGCATGAAAATGGTGACTGTTAATCAGGTTTTGATCAGCAGCTGCAAAACCAAGAAGTTCTCTTAATTTCCTTTTGCATCTGTATGGTGAAGCTTTGCGTAGTAGTAGTATGTCTTCACCTTTGAGAAGATCACATTACATTAACAGTTTGCAGTTGGAAGGGTTCTTTGTAATTATAAGAGCTGTTTGTTTATGTCTTAAACAAACATAGTTCTGCATTAGTTGACAATATCCAGGGTAAATTGTCTTTTTTCCAAGCCCAAGGAGAGGCCTGTGTGTGTTTTTTTGTCTTTGATATGCTACATCTAGTAACGTATTAAACTGCAGAACTGCTTTTGGTTTGTTATGAAATCTATATTTTAAAATTGTAAAATATAGCTGTAATTAACCTGAAAGTAAGTAACCTCAATGCAGAATTTTCATGTGAGGAAATCTATTGCAATACAGTTAATTCTCTCTGGCACTTTTTTATTTTCATCCTCGTTTGCTGCAACACATGTCCGAGACTGTCCAGTGATGTAACCGTTGCCTATTTATATATAGCATGAAGTGCTGCTTTACATCTTTGAGTTGTCTCTTCACTTTTGAGGACCGAATGCCAAAAGAAAGAGCCCCCTACACTTTAAGGTGTAGAAGGTCACAAACGTACAGCGATAGTGACAAACACTAATGAACGTATTTTAGCTCTGTCGGTGCCGTTTTCTAATCCGTACCAGCTGGCCAAATCTCCCTGCGCAGAGGTACAGTTTCTGAAGCTGACAGGCTTTTGATTCTGGTCGAAGTATCCTAGAAGTGTGTTTACAAGATTGGATGTAGGAGACTTCTTCCACTGAACTGCAGCTGTCCCTTGTTTGTGGTTTGAAACTGCAACTATTGACAAGTGCAGACAGAGTTTATATGAACTCAGAAGGTCTCTTGCCAATTCAATAAGCCTGAAAAGTGATGTGTGGTATTTACATCTTGGTCTCTCTCGCCAAAGGTTTTGTCTCTCAAAGTGTATAATCATTGCCTCTTACATCTCAAAAGTAATTTTCTGGTATTTGAGTATGTCTTTGGAAGTGTGAATCATGGGAAAAGATCTACTCAAAGCTCTTACACAAGTTTACTGACTCTTTTTTTTGGCTTGGTCTAGTCTATTGTGCTCTCCTGGTTCTCCACTTTTTTCACTATGGCTGGGACAGAGGCCATAAAATCTTCTATCAGGGTTTAGAAATCGGAGGTGATTTCAGTTGTTTTAATTTACCTTTCCTATGGAAAAACAAACCATTGCGGCCAGTGATACCATTTCATCTGGTGTTCCTAATGAAATATAGGCAAACAGTCGTGTTCCTGCAAATTCCCTTCGAAGGAAATTCTTTTAAAGGAATGTAATCAACGTAGGGTGGTTTACAAGGGAAAAGTATCGAAAACATCCCTCATCAATTTCATATTTGGTATGCATCAAATTTTTATTTATTCTGCTGAAATGAAAAAAGGAATTTGATAAGCTGTGAAAAACTTAGGAATAAATGTGAAACTTCTGTGACAATATAAAATATTAATTTTCCATTTCATTTTGTTCACCTCTGTCTCTTGAGACTGATCACAAACTGAATTCAGTTTCTTACTCTTCACTTGAAGATTTTTCAATTGTTTAAACTTCTTCACAAAAAGTGATATGGTAAGAGGATTAAATCACTAATACAACAAGAAAGACTTTAAAAAGTAAAATAAAACCTTATTATTGTATAGCTCATTTGACAGACAACTTGCCTAATTAATCATAACACTTATAATCAAAGATTTACTTATTTTAACATTTGATAGAAAGACTGTATCTGAAGGCAGTTTCTGAAATACAAATAGAAAAACATATAATGTTCTAAATTTTAATTTCATTAGTCTTTCTCTTAATCTCTCTCTCATACTTCATATGGGTCAAAGTAAGCAACATTTGAATACAGCTAAAATGTGGAGATATAGGATATTCCATTTATTTAGGTGAGCCTGTTTAATGTCTTCACTGGACCCACAAGTGTTTGAAGTATCTTGTAAAAAAGAAAAAAAAAGCATAGCATTGCATATTACTAGAACTTTAAAAATACAGATTCTTCAGAAAGATAATGATGAATTAAGCAAGATGCATCAATGGTGTTTAATTAACAACCTTCTTATATGTGGTTTAACTGTACTTTTTTAAGACAACATATGCATGATGTTCTGAAGTACCTGTTTGTGAGATAAGGGCTGTGGGTTTCCAGTAGATTTTAACAAAGTCTCAGACCTCAGTTTTCAGAAAAAGGCTTTCAAAACTTTCCTATCTTGGCCTGTAACACACTTTTCCAACATTTTTAACCCTACTGTCCCCTCCCCCCATGCATACTCCATTACTTTAATCTGACAAATTTTATGGAGATTTTACGTGGAGACTTTAACATACAGATGGATTATAGATCCAAGATGGTCTCTTATTTTCTCTTATGAATGCTAATTATTTGGTATTGTGTTTCGAATGTGGAGTACAGAAAAATCTGTCCCTTCAGTGTCATGAGGAATGGCCTGTTTACTTGCATGCCTTCAAATTCTATTTAAGTGACTGGGAACAAGACCAGAAAGACATAATGCTCTATTTGCCAATTCTAATAGCAAAAATTGTTTAGACTTGAGGAATAGCTCATTGTCTATGAATCCATTAAAATATCCATCACTGCATGCGTCTTGTTTCCCTTTCACAGAAGCATAGTCTGTATTTCTTCATTTCCATTTTTCTTTAATGACTATTATGCTTTATATGATTTGCAAATCAAGTTCTTTATTTGGCTTATTATAAGTGTCGTTTTCTTCTGTATATTAACTTCTCCTGGCATTTGAAGCAAAAGGCTTCTGCTTTCTCTTTGCAATCTTGATGCTGTTAGACAACTTAAAGATGTTGGAAAGGGAGAAAGCAGAGAGTTAACCTACTGAAGTGTATTGGTATTAGGAACGTTAAATAAACCTTTCCCTTCCTTCTAAAAATAAGTATGTGATGATTAGTCTGTTTGGCTTGTTTAAAATGTATTTTCTCACAACTGTAAAATGAATTTGTTGGATCCCTTTGTCACTTTAATCTTGCTCTGTGCACAGTGCCTATTTCTGTAACATTTCAGTAACTTCCAGGGGACCGAGTTTCATATTTACTGTGTGTTCTTAGTATGACTGGTGTGTTTTCATGCTAATGGGGATTTTGAAACTGCTGAGCTAATAAAATGTAATTAATAGCATGTTATTGTTTAAACTATTTCCAGGTACATCCACCTTTATGGAAGCATTAGCAGCCAATGGTACAACCAACATACAGACATCTGTAACAGGAGTGACAGCCAGCAAGCGGAGGTTTATTGATGACAGGAGAGATCAACCTTTTGATAAAAGGCTACGTTTCAGCGTGAGACAAACGGAGAGTGCGTACCGGTACAGAGACATTGTTGTCAGGAAACAAGATGGATTCACACACATTTTGCTATCAACAAAATCATCTGAAAATAATTCACTAAATCCAGAGGTCAGAACAATTCTGATTTTGCGGGGGGAAGGGTGCTGAGGGAATTCTAAGTCTCTGCCTAATTTATGCCTGTTATTCAGGCACAAACATACACAAAACAAGATTCAGGTTGTTGCTTGCGAGATGTTACACATAACCTGACTTTAACTGTAATTCAGTTGAGTTTTAACTATGTTATCTGAACATGTAGATGTACTGTCTTTTATAAGACGTGGCGATTTATGAAGTGCTACTTGAAACAAGCTTTAGCCTGAATTAAGGGTTGTTTGTTTGGGTTTGTTTTTTTTTTTCTGAACTGGTTGCATATGCCATCTGCTGTCCAAATTACAGAAATGCTGAATGAGTGCTTTAGTTACAGATAACATCTAATAGATCTTTTCTTAATGATTTCATTATCTTAGTCTAATTACATTTTTGAAATGCAAAGCTTCTAATACTTTTTTTTAACTTTCTTATTTTGGGATAATGAAAAAAGTTAACTTTTCTTATATGATGGTTGAGTGGATCCTAAGGAAAAATTAACGATGCCAAAGATTTCATGGGGGGAGGAGGGGAGGAGAACAGTATGCTACTTTTTAATGATGTAATAAAAAGACTCTAATGAATTTTTGATTTTTCAGGTAATGAAGGAAGTCCAAAGTGCACTGAACACAGCAGCTGCAGATGACAGTAAACTTGTCCTGTTCAGTGCAGTTGGTAGCATTTTCTGCTGTGGTCTTGATTTTATTTATTTTATACGACGTTTAACCGATGATAGAAAAAAGGAAAGCACTAAGATGGCAGAAGCTATTAGGTATGTAAGATTGTCTTCAGTCATCTGAGTGGCTATTCTTCATTGTGTAGTCTGGCTTGTTTTATCTTTTTTTTTTTTTAATATATTTGAAAAGCCTCTAATTCAACAAGATCTCAGACGCTCACCTGTTACGTGATTTAGTGTGCAGGACTTCTTTATACTCCCTGTCCCTTTCTATTTGGGTTGTCATTTCACGCATCACTACTTTTACTACTAAAATTAACTATGAAAACTGGTAGTATGGTAATGCTCCTCCAGTTGAAACCAATTTTAAAAGACTTAAACAGCCATAGGGTTTGCGGAAAACAAATTTAGGACACACAAATAGAAGATGTGCATTGAATGAGTAACAATATAGTACATTCAGAGCGGTGGAATGATAGATATTTTAGAGGAGTAGATTAATACTAGTGAACATCATCCCAACACTAGGTACCAAACCTAAGCAAACAAAATGAGCTGAACTACTACAAACTAGAAGAATATATATGGAAAAAGGTATGGATCCTAGACAGATATGTTTTAACAATACAAACAAGTAGCTTATCATTTGAACACTGGTTTTGAGGGCCTGGGCTCTTGGATTAGCTCTTGTATGCTTCCGGAATATCTATGTTTCTTCAGAGACCATGTTCTGTTGTTGTTATCAATATTCATGTCCCTAAAAAGGGCCTTGTAACATGTAAAGCCTGTTTCATTGGAGGCACAATTGGCTCACACAGATGATAATAGTTAGTTTTTTCAAAGGAAAATTTTCAGTCATTCCATGTAAAAGTTGCTCATGCAGTGACTTCAGATGTGGCTAGGGGACAGAGGCTCTTAACACTGAGCTTCTGTCACTAGTTTAATTCAGGCCCTTCCAGAAACCTGATTTGTCACCTATTATTCAATGTTAATAAAATGGATAAAGGTAACTTAAAACACCTACGAATCTAATAATGGTATTTTTCATATATATGCTAGAGATGGTCCCCTCTGGAATATTCAGACATGATTAAAATTATCTTAAGTCTCTGGATGGGATGTTTGTATGACAGCTTGCATAAGATGATTCCAGTAGATGAATGCAAAAAAATTTCTATTTCCATTCACTAGAATGAGTTAAGAAGTGTGATAACCTTTAGTGATGGACGCAATATAGTAAAAATGTCCTGTTTTGCAGAAATAGAAAAACACGTAACGCAGATAAAGAGCAAACTTCAAAATTACCACTAAATCCCCCCTTTTTTAAAATTTTGATAAAAATCTCATATTTCAGCATCTAACAATGAAATGAAAAATCATCTGTCATTCAGAGCAAAGGAGTGCTTTACAAGTGCTGACAACTATGTTGTACACTGTATTCTAATCAGAATTTGTCATGTACTTGAAGTAAATATGGACAACTTCTTCATTATATCTAGTAGCTATTAACTGAGAAATGTCTGCACCTCAACTTGGAGGTTTTAGAAGTCTCTACTTGTTCTAATGCATGTGTTACACACACACACACGTACGTGTACACACACTTACTTTTTCCTAAGAAGCTCTAGAAAGCATTTACTGTTTGAGAACAGAGAAGCATGTAAGCATCCATGCTCTGTGGGTATTGGAATGAATTGTCATTTTGTGTTGATAATGAGGATGAGAATATGCATTTGTAACTTAATGTCGTAGGTGCTATGCTATTATGACCAACCAAGAGAGGGAGATGAGGAGGGGAAGTTTACAGGTGTGTGATATGTGATAATGGAGCTCTACTATTTATGGCTTGTTCATAATTTAAAAAGGCAGATTTATTTATTAAGAAAAGCTGTCTCCCAAAAGTCCAGAAACACTCCTTAAGGAAACTTATTAATGCTTTGCCCATCTTCACTTATACCTATATACCTTATAACTTCACTTAAAAATATAGATAGATAGATAGATACCTTATACCAATGTCATACATAAACACATGGAAGACCAAGTAGGGCTGTAGCCCAGAGGTGAGGTATGACTACAGCCTCATCTAAGAGAAGGCTGTGAGGCATGTGAATATACCACAAGTGCCATATCAGCTGGTGCTTTTAAGAGGGGCATTAAATCTGCACCTGCCCAATTACTGTGCTTTGTTGGGCTGGGAGAAATGCTAGGCTTTCACAGAATCAGAGAATGGTTGAGGTTGGAAGGAACCTTTGGAGGTCATCTTGTTCAACCTGCTCCTGCTCAAGCAGGGTCATCTAGAGCAGGCTGCCCAAGACCATGTCCAGGCAGGGCTTTTGAATATCTTCAAGGATGGAGAGTCCACAACCTTGCTGGCCACGTGTTCAGTCACCCTGAAAGTGTTTCCTGATGTTCAGAGGGAACTTCCTGTGTTTCAGTTTGTGCCCACTGCCTCTGGTCCTGTCTTTGGGCACCACTGAAAAGACTGCCTCCATCCTCTTTTGCATCCTCCCTTCAGGTACTTATACACATTGAGATCCCCCCCTGAGCCTTCTCCGGGCTGAACAGTCCCAGCTCTCTCAGCCTTTCCTCACATGAGAGATGCTCCGGTCCCTTAGTCATCTCGGTGACCCTTTGCTAGACCATCTTCAGTAGCTCCACATCTCTCTTTCACTGGGGAGCCCGTAACTGGACACCAGTGCTGAGCAGAGGGGAAGGATCACCTCCCGCAACCTGCTAGCAACACTTCTCCTACTGCAGGCCAGGATACCATTAGCTGCCTTTGCCACAAGGGCACATTGCTGGCTCAAGTTCAACTTGGTGTCCACCAGGACCCCTAGGTCTTTTTCCACCAAGCTGCTTTCCAGCTGGGTGGCGCCCAGCATATACTGGTGCATGGGGTTGTTCCTTGCCAGATGCAGGACTTTGCAATTCTCCTTGTTGAATTTCACAAGGTTCTTGTCAGCCCATGTCTCCAGCCTGTCAAGGTCCCTCTGGATGGCAGCATGACCCTCTAGTGTATCAGCCCAGTTTGGTATCATCAGCAAACTTGCTGAGGGTACACTCTGCCCCATCATCCAGATAACGAATGAAGCTGTTGAACAGTACTGGACCCAGCACTGACCCCCTGGGGTGCAATGCTAATTACTGGCCTCCAACTAGACTTCGTGCCACTGATCACCACCCTCTGGGCCAGCCATTCAGACATTTCTCAGTCACCTCACTGTCTGCTCATACATCAACAGCTTGACTATGAGTCTCTTATGTGAGACAGTGCTGAAAGCTTCACTCTGAAATCTAGGTAGACAATATCCACGGTTCTCCCCTCATCCACCAAGCTAACCACCTCATTGTGGAAGGGTGTCAGGTTGGTTTTGAAAGCAATGTTACTGTGGAGATGAATTATTACTGAGTTTTCAAGGGCTGGTGTATTTTACTCTCTCTATATATGTAGTGAGTGCATGTTTCTGTTTCTCTTCAGGAATTTTGTGAATACTTTTATTCAGTTTAAGAAGCCTATCATTGTAGCAGTAAATGGCCCAGCCATTGGACTTGGAGCATCTATATTGCCTCTGTGTGACGTGGTTTGGGCTAACGAGAAGGCTTGGTTTCAGACACCATACACTACTTTTGGACAAAGTCCAGATGGATGTTCATCCCTTACATTCCCTCGGATAATGGGCCTGGCTTCTGTAAGTAGCTTGCAGGGTAGGGGCTGACAGCTTCACAATGCAGTTGTGATAACTTATCCAGAGTGATTTCAAGACTTTTTACCTTTGCTGTGTTGTCTTTTCATAAGAGAAAGAAAAAATAAAGAAAACCTTTCATGAGAAAGCAGTATTTATAGCTTCTCTGCTCCGTGCTGTTACAACCTAGTCTTCACCTGTGTGCACAGAACAGAAAGCAGGCACGAGACCTAATCCCATGTCATGGGCGCCCTTAACCCTGATGGTGGCAGAAGGGTTATGTCCTGCATACCAGGACACACCTTCCCTGCTGATGCCTTGTGAGGACCAGCCGCCAGTGTCTTGCATTCAGCACAGCATCAGAGTGTAGCAGAGAATGGGCTGGTCTGCGCTCAGTGTCGTTACACAGCAGAGCACCGTGTCACCAGCTATTAGCAGTCTCATGCTAGTATGCAAAATAAGTAATTCGGCTTTCATGCACTCGTTCTCAAGAAGTCGTGTTGAACTTCCTGGCTTTGCAGATCTCTGCTGATGTTTAACACTAGTGTGTCATGCAAGAAATACTCAGTCCAAATCACCTTTGTGAAGGATGGTTTTTTTTCAGTCTTGCACTTGATTTACAGTATTGCTGGATTGGGGAAAAAAAAAAGTAACACTTCACATTGTTGCTGAAAACATAAGCCCCATGTTACTTAGTACCCCTTTTCTTGCTTTCCAATTAAATGAAAGAATCAAATGTAACAAAAAGCTATTTAAAAATCTTATCTACATTATTTTCATGTTGCTTACTATTTTTTTTATGCTGTGTTCTTTGAAAATTCTTAGACCTACGTCCCATTCCAATTTGAAGTTGAACAGTAACAGTATGAAACAAGCGCTTGTAGCTACACCTGTTTTTCCTAAATTACTGTTTATTATAAAAGCCAATTTTTTCCCTGTATGTATTTATTGATTTAAAAATACAGGTTTTGATATATTAAAAGCATCAGTTTGAACAGATCTAATGACTAATTGTGTGATGTCTGGATTTAGTTACTAGAAGAGAACAGAAAAGGCAACTGAAATAGATTAACAGTTATGAGAGTATCTTTAATATCTTAGCATGTTTCAAACTACTGATTGTTCCTTTCCCTTTTTATTTGGCCATCCGTCCATCCATTCATCCATCCATTCCATCCATCCCTGTCCTTTAGAGACTTGTGGTTTCTTTAGAAGTTGTACAAAAAACAGAAGAAGCTCTTCCCTAGTATGCTCTTTCATGTGTGTTTGTGAATGCTCTCATTTTTAAATATAAAGATTTAAATTGAAAGCTTCCAGTGATAGTAATTCCATAATATTCAGTGCAAAAGGGGAAAAAAGTCCACTGTTTTCATGCGGTCCTCGACCCTCTGCATTATAGCAATGTCAGTGCCGTATGGGACAAAGTTGGACTTTAATCAGCAGATTTCATGAAATATATTCAGAATCCGTACTGAAAATTTTGATAAAGTAGCATGCTTTCTATCTATAAAAGGGAGAGAGAAGTCAGCAGAAAGAAGAGATGGTATGGGTGAGATAAGAAACATTCGGGGGAAAAAAGATTAAAATATCATACAAAAGAAAGAATTAAGGCCTCTGTATGCATCATAAAATTTGCTACAAATGTATTAATTGAGGAATATTAGTCCCACCCTTAACTCTTGTAAGTCAGATTCGGTGCCTTCTTTTTATCATCAGCAGTTATGTAAAAATCTTAATTTCCAACAACCTTGCCGTTGATCTTCCCTACGGGGTCAGTCTTGGCTGATGAGCAGGTCTGTCATGGAGGGTTTTTTTTCACGGAACATGTTCGACAGAGGTCATTATTACAGGAAATCTGAAACCCAGACCTTAGGTTTCAAAACTGATGCTGTATTGGTAATACCAAGAATTTTAGAAGGTTTCTTAAACTTGGCTTTTGAGTTTTGAAAATAATTTATAATAGAGATTAAGGTGACGTCTCTTTGGGGAGATACGTTATTGTGCGTCTGCTGTGGAGCTCTTGGTCTGGTTTTCTGGTCCTGGGTATAAAGCACAGGAGCTGCGTGATCAAGCTCCTGGCACTGGGTTTCCCTGTCGGTCTCCAGCATGCTTGGCGGTTATTTCTTATGCTTTTCTGTCAGTCATGAGGGATACACATTTCCATAGTGCCTGTAGTCCACATCACAGCCAGGGTCTCGGGCGTTACAGAGACCAGCTGCCTCCTGATCATAGTGCAAGAGAGCCGAGATGCTCCATGGCAGCTAGCGCCTGTGGGCTTGCACGGAAGGTCCCTCGTGAGCCTCAAAGTGCTCGCTGTAAAAAGAGAGACCAGAGGGTGTCCCAGTGAAGTTCCTCTGTGGAAGGAGAAAGGCAGACTGAGTAGAAAATGAAGGTTGTTAATGAGAATCTTATATTAATGAAATATTTTTATCATCTTCATTTCTGTTGCTGTATTATATTCCTTGGAAAGTAACCACCAGCGTGTTAATTTTCACAGCGGATAGAAGGCATGTTTATATGATTAAAACTTGTTTAGCAGTGGGTCTCTGGCATATGTTGTGTATAGATCAAAAGTTAAGATGCCAGAGCAAAACATTTCCCTTCAAAACCCGTCAGCTGAGAACTCTAATGGGAGCGCTCATTTCATGTGAGGTTTTCTGCTAATGCTGTGTTACAGCTGGCAGAAATAAGATAACTGCACCATTATCACTTGTGGATTTTCATGTTCAGGAGAACTCAGCAGTTGCTACTGAGTTTTAGGAGGAAAAAAAAAACCAAACAAAACTATTAAGGCTTTCTAGCATTCCCTTTTTATCCTTGTTACCACAGATACATGTGAAGAATGTTATGTAGACCTGACCAGCTGTCTTAAATTTCTGACTTTCCTAACTCCCAGTTAGATTGACTTCACATTTTGATCTTTGATATAAATGTTAAGTATCTCTTACAATTATTCTGGAAGAAATTTTTTTCCCTATCTCCTTAGGAAAATGATTCCTGTTTTTAGACAAACTTGTGTATATCACTGGTTTTTGGCTAGTGTTTCAGGTTAGTATTATTCACATATAATCTGGAAAATTAGAAAGTACAGTTGTGATAGTTAATGAACCTTGTATATTTGATTTTGCTTTCACAGAAGGTAGAACTATAGGGGTACATAATTTGTACCTTTAGTTTGAGACCTTTAGTTTGAGGCTTTTTTTTTTTTTTTTAAACTAATATATCGGAGTCACAACTTTCCATATTAACTCATGAGAGATGTGCTGATGATAACTTTTATGTAAAAGAACCTAGGAAACATCTCTTTTTTTTACATGCCTAATGGACTGGATGTCAGCAACCAAACTGCCAGTAGAACCCAGACCTTGTATTTCATCACAAAGGGGCAAGTAATAGACCTCTGAGTTTTCAAATTTCTTCATATGTAAAATGGCAATACTAGGAACATTACCTACAGTAATTAGATAACTTGAGGTCCTTGACTGAAAGTTGCTGTAATAATTACTACATTTCCAGTATTAGAAAACATAAAAAACCTCAGAATTTTGTCCTCAGAAATGCTACACCTGTCAGGTTTGGGTGTTTTATAACAGCCTTATTTCCCATATTTCAAGAGTCCAGTGATGGCTTTGTCGTATTTTCAATGTAAATTAGTCATTAAGAAACAGTAAAACTGATTATTTTTTTTGAGGTTGACAATTACTCTGACTTTTAAATCTTCACTGGCTGTTTCCATGCAGATGTCACCGCAAACAACAATTTTAACTATATAAGAAACTTCACTAAAGGTAGAATTAAAGCATAAGCGTAAATGGTTGTAGGATGAAGCTTTAATGGGGAAGCTGATAAATAGTGAAGTGTATGATAATTACAAATCAAAAAGACTTACAGAACTAGAGATCACCTTAACGCATAGAATGTAGTACTCTGTTCTGTACCTTTAAACTATGTACAAGATCTTTTAAATACTGGGGTTTTTTAATAAGACTGATAAATCAGCTTTTGAAAGGATTTATCAGTTCAATATTGAACTCCTGAATAAAATGGGAATGTTTATTTTCTTGAATTTGGTCAGAAACTTGAATACATCCTGCTCATTTCAGTGGGCTTTGGAGGTCACATTCTAAGATGATCCAGCTGTTTAAGTGTTGCATCATAAATGAAATACTGCTGAAGACTTTGGAGAAGTGCTGAAAATAAACCATATATTTTAGGTTTCAAACATTTTTCAGTACTAAAACACATTTTAGTTGCAAAATATTTAACTCTTCTTTTCTACCAAGACTGGCAGTTCCCAGGAGATCTACTACCAAAACTGGGTTATCTTTTATAATTTACAGATAATGTAGACTTTTAGCAAATATTTCATTGCTGCAACTAACATTATAATAAAGGGCAAGCTGATGTATTTCACTGCCGTTTTACAGATCTGCCAAGCATTATAACCTATTACCACATATACAGTTAATCAAGTCAGCAATACTGCAAGAAAGCTAGAGCTAATGAACATTCATGTATGGGCAATGACAAAAGACATTTTCACGTTTAACCTCTATTTTTATAACTACTGATGTAGTATAGTCAACAACACCGACCAGCTATCTGTAGGCAAGTCTTTATTAATTAAAAGTTGGAAGAGCTGTAATAAGACTATTTCAAATAGTGCAGGCATTTTCCTTATTTGTTTTGAACATTTTTCCTTTAATGAGTTTTGTCTCATTACATTTCATACCAGAAGTAACTTTTTATCCCTTCAGGCCAATGAAATGTTGTTCAGTGGAAGGAAGTTGACCGCGCAGGAAGCTTGTGCCAAAGGACTCGTCTCTCAAGTGTTTTGGCCGGGAACATTCACACAAGAAGTAATGGTTCGAATTAAGGAACTTGTCACTTGTAATTCAGTTGTAAGTTTCCTTTATTTTCTTACAATACATTTTTATGATTAGATCAATAAGAATTAATCCAAGTATTATTAGAAAACATCATTATGTCCTTTTAAAAAAGATTATTTTCATGAAACAAGGACCGGATTTTAGTATAGCAATGTCTTTTAACACATTCTTATGTATCTCTTTGCTGGGTTTTTGAGGATTTTTTTTTTTTTGAGTTTGTATCTGACTCTTCTTTATCATATGTCATAGTACATTGTGGCTAAGAACATTAAACCAGCATTGGTCTCTTTACAATATATTTTGGTTTTAACATAGTTGCATAAGTCCAACTTTATTCTAATCACCAGTGTAAACAGTTGCCCTAAGAACTGCACAGAAACACAGAAATCTTGAGTTACCTTGAGTTGTAATTTAAATTACCAAGGAAATAAATGCAGTCTTTGATATTATGTTGAACTTAGTTTTATGAGTAATGCCTAGTGCATTCGTGGTTGTGTGTGCTACTGGCAGTTGCAGAAGATAGCTAAAACTACAAATATTTGATGCTTTCTCATGAGAAGAGACGCAGTACAAATTAACTGTTCTGTGCGTTAGAAATTTTGGATTTTGAAACAGATTAATAGTCTTCTAAATGGAAAAGCAAATGAGATTTTTTCAGTCTATTTTAAATGCTCAAGAGATTCAAGGTCTGCCTGGTTATTAGAGCGGTTCTGGATAATAGTGTTATGATTAGCCTTCACAAAATGGAGTTAGAGTTTTCTCTAGTTATCGGCATAAAACCATATATATTCATAGTTATGATTTTGATTTTCATTATTTCCACATTTTTGTGCACTTGTAAATTGTGCTGGTATTGGGTAAAGGAAATCCTGTGTGATGCTATGAGAGACTCTATGAGAAGTGTTTCTTAGGGTCGTAGTATGTCCATGAACTGATAAGCTTAAGTTCATAATCAACTTACAGGTTTATATGGACAAATTCTGAAGTGCACATGTTGCTCAGTTCTCATGTAATACTAACTCAACTCCCTTTTTCTTTTTTTTGGCCTAGGTACTTGAAGAATCCAAAGCTTTAGTACGTAATATCATGAAGGTGGACTTGGAACAAGCAAATGAAAAGGAGTGTGAAGTTTTGAAGAAAATCTGGGGCTCAGCACAAGGGATGGACTCAATGTTAAAATATCTGCAGAAGAAAATTGATGAGTTCTGATGAGATGCCCATTGACACTGGAATTGTATTTCTTGGACATCAGGGCAAACAAAATATGCCCATTTAAAAAACCTATATAAACTCAGCCCTTGCTCATCTTGGGAACAGGAGTGGACTCCCCCCTCCCCTTTTATTGTCAAGGGGTTTAAAAGTACTGTATCACTTAAATTTGAACAAAACTCCTTTCTCCTTGATTGTTACATATAGATATATATACACACACACAAGTGTATGTGTGTGCATATATATGTCTTTATATATATAATGTAATATGTGTGTGAGAGTGTGTATGTAGACATACACACACAAGCTAAAAAAAAAAAAAAATGAGTGCACTACCAAACATCTCTTTAAAGGCTCTAGTTTTTGTTATCTTTGGCTAGTACTGTATCAAATAGAGAATGGATTAAAAAGTGAATGGTGTTGCATTACTTTCTGTGTGGCAGGGAAGTCTGGAATAATGCTTTTCTTTTTCATTAGAAAACAGAATTGAAACGGGTATTAGCCAGCCCTTACTTTCACTGCCCAACGAGTCAGCTAAGATACAAGGCATTGTCCCAGAAGAAGGTTGAAATACCTCAAGTAATGGAACATTCTAAAATTTGGGGGAATTAAACCCTATTAAGATTAAATCACAAATATCCCCAAAAAGAGAGTGTGCTCAGGATTAATGCTAAGAAAACACTCTGTCCTTTTTTGGGGGGAGGTATAGAGGGGTAGAAAGAAGGGGGCAAGAATATATTTAATTCTTACCCAGATAGCATGAAGAAACCACTGTCTCTTGGGGAAGGGGAATGAGGGGAAGTGGGAGGGAAATGGAAGGGGGAAGAAAAAAACAAAAAAAAGCTTGTTTTGCAGTATTAGTGAATCATTGAATATCTTATGTATGAATATCCTAAGTTATAAGTTAGTTTTAGTGGGTTTTTAAATAGTCTCTCTGGGTTTGTTTTTTTGTTTGTTTGTTGTTTTTTTTTTTTTTTAAATAACTACATAAGTGCTTCTGTTGCTGGGTGAGAATACTACTTTATATACAGTTTGGGTTCTGTTTTTGGTTCCTTTTTTCCTATTTGCTTTTTTAATTGATGTATTACACCAAAAATGCATTTTATGTTCATAAATTTTAGGTTCACTTAGAATATATTATTTAATAAGTTAAAATTCTTTTGGCACACTATTAAGTAAAAAAAAAAACTCCTTTAAAAAAAAACTACCTTATATTAGATGTTTAATGTTCTTTGTCTATGCTTTTTTATTATTTTAAATATACACTATATACAGTATGGTGTAAAAGAGTGCCCTGTGTAAATAGACCTATTTTGCATTCCTTTCAGGAGTGGTTATTAATTCCTGACTGCAGATATCTATTATTACTTGGGTATCTGTGCTTGCAATCTTATTGAATGTATTATGAAGAATGAAAAAGAAATCAAACCTTATTTTTGTACAGTTTTGAAGTTTTTACTTGGAACTGACCCACCTCCCCTTCCCAGTGGAGAGCTGTACAGTGTGTAAATCTGCCTTTACCTTGGATTGGTACAGTATTTTTGCATCTGTGGGACCTACTTTTTTGTTCTAGTAGTTTGAACTATATAAAAACAATCTGTAAAGTTTCTATAGAATAAATATTCAGCTGTGAAAACTGGTTAAATAAAACTAATATTTCTTAACACATTTTAAATGTGGTTCTCATAGTTGTCTCTTTCAAAGACATTTCAGTTCTGATTTTAAAGTAGGCATTGCTGAAACAAATCTTGCACATTAAAGACTTCAATATTTATGTTTTGTTTTGTTAAACTTACTTTCATAAGCTCTCAACAATTTCCTTCAAATAAGAAGGTGAAAATTAATTTACTGTTGTAAACTATATAGAAGATATCTCTTAGAGGAGGTAGATGGGGGAAGATGACATATAGGAAGTCATTCTACTCAATTATTTTGTTACAGTTCTAAAAGAACAGTAAATGTTTCTTTGCAATCATCTCTTAAAAATGGGTCATTTTCCCTACAATGCTGTGCTAAAGTGAGAATTCCTGAGTTGAATTTGATTTTATTGAAAGGGAGAAGGAAAGATACCTTACCTACAGTTCTGTAATGTTAAACCTTTTGGAGTTTGACTCAAAGATCCCTTTTCCGGCAGCTTGTAAGAAGCATTTGGGCATAGATTGCATCTATTTCAGCTGGAAGATTTATGCTTTCCTTAAACATGAAAGAACTTCACCTATAACAAAAGACTGGATCTAGAGATATTTAGAAGAATTAAATCAGTTGAAGGTGCAGGCAATTCAACTGGAAAAATACTTCTACTTGCTTCATTTTTTTGTGTTACTATCAGTCAGGCCGTTATGCTGCCTACAATTTGCATATTAAGATGTGAACAACTTGGTGACCAGGTAAATTCCTGTCTTTGACTGGAAAAAGTCCTTAGTTCAGACCAATTCATATGCACTGTCAGTGTCACTGGGCAATTGCCCTACCTTTATATTAGAAGCAGTAACTAACTTTACACTATTAACAAATTATCTGTCATTCATAAATAATGTACACATTTTGTCTATATACTGGACTTAGAGGGATACTGTCCAGTTCTTTTCAGTGTGGGTCACTAAATACCCTTTGATGTGTGTGAAAGTTACAGTTAAGTCTGGTTTAGTCTTTGTAAAACCATAATAGAACAAAGACAGAAAAATTAGACTTCTAATAGCAAGCAAGAAGGCCTGAGATATAAAAACTGACTTAAGACATTTTAAAATGGGTGTTTTCAAGGCTTTCTTCACAGAAGACACAGGTCTTTGCCTAGCCTGGTTCATTGCTGATGCTTGTATTGTTCTACATAAATTTGCAGTACTGCATAGCTAAACTAATGTACTTGGAACTGTTTGAAAGCCACCTGTGTACATTTAGCCACACTTTCTGCTGATATGTTAGTTTGAGCAAAAATAGAAAGCAGAGCAAGGTGTTTAGCTCCGGGTAAGCTAACTTACAACAAAGGTATTTTGGGGTAATCCTGAAGATCTGAACTCACCTATAGGTCTTTTCCTTGTTCAACCTTCCTAATTTGCATGAATCTAGGATTTGAAGCACTTCCCTTCAGTGAGTCGTGCACTGGATTGCCAACATTGCTAAGAGGCATCTCTGTGCTTCAGAAGCTGCACCATTATCACTCTGAAAACAAGGTTCAGGGGAATTAAATCATCTTTTTAGGTTAGATTCATCTTAAAGTCAGGCATACTTGAAAGGAATAGAAAAAACACATAATGCTAAGCTATATAAACTGCTTAACTTTACACTGATATATTTCATGCTTTACCCAAACAGTGAATAAAATAGGACTGCAGACATCTAGGGAATGAGGCAGCAAACAAAACATTTTTGGCCAAGTGGACAGGAGAGACTTTCTTCAATAAATGGAGCCTGTGCTCTACCTAGATTTGTTGGTGGAAGTTGAGGCACTTCACATATTCATCTGGGACATGACAAGTATGCTTCTGAAGAGAGTAGGAAGGAGGAGATACCTCAAGTCAATTAGTTTGCCATATGATTTTCCATCCTAAGGAACTGCCAGCAGCTGTCAACACACAGGCTATCTTACAGAGCTGTAGCAGAGGCTGAGTTGGCAACCTGAAGTCATGCAGCATGGGAGCTCAGTTATACTGAAGGTGGCACACAGGCGAATTTTCCTTTCCAAGGGAAGAAGCATCAGGAGGAGAGCCCCGGTACAGCACAAGATCACCATGGTCCCGTTCTGTACAGCCCCTCAGATTTCTCTAGAAAATACTTCACTCACAAGTGTCTGCATTTTTTTTTCCTTACTCATGAGGGACATGATTGGCAGATTAAGTCATGCACCAGACTTACTAACAAACAAAAACCAAATATGATTACCTCATGAGGTACTCACAGGATGAAGAGTGTTTTGATGTGCAAAGATTTTGAAGTGCAATACAAAATGAGAAGATGGTGATGAAGTTCTTTTGGTCCTCCTCATCCCTCCTGCACAGGGCAAAATACAACAAATAAGGGGAATTAGAAACCACCAAAAACAGCAGGTAAGAAGTCAAAGGAGCTGCAGGATGAAATAAAGGAATGGCAGTTATTCTCCCTTAAGTCCCCATTCTTATCACTCTCAATGCTGGAAGAGATACAATTGACAAGAACACCAGGTGGACATACATATACCTGTTCCATACAGCAGTGTGGAGTACATTATCAGTACCTATGCCTAAACTCAGGCAGACTACGAGCCTCACATTTGCAGGCCCTGGTCCTCGGGGGGGACTTAAACCACCCTGATGTCTCCTGGAGGGACAACACAGAGAAGAGAAGACTTGGGGGGAAATCTCATCAATGTACATAAATACCTGGAGGGAGGGTACAAAGAGGATGGAGCCAGGCCCTTTCCATTGGTGCCCAGAGACAGGACCAGAGGCAGTGGGCACAAACTACACAGGAGGAGGTTCCCTCTGAACATCAGGAAACACTTTCTTCCTGTGGGGGTGACTGAGGACTGGCACAGGTTGCCCAAGGAGGCTGCAGAGTCTCCCTCCTTGGAGATACTCAAAAGCCATATGGACATGGTCCTGGGCAACCAGCTCTAGGTGGCCCTGCGTGAGTGGCAGTGGGTGGGACCAGATGACCTCCAGAGGTCCCATCCAACCTCAACCAGTCTGTGGAAAAAAAAACACCAAACCACTTGCATTCATTTTCCAACTATCCAGTCATCGTCCACCGAACAACCTCTATGGCTAGAACTGCAGGTTCATCAGGCTCTGCAACACTACATGCTTTAGTCTTTGAGAACCCAACATCTTGTGCTGGATAATACCAACTCACCCAGAAGAAAGGTAAGTACAGATCAACTCACGTGTTTCAGGTAAGACAGGGATCATCCTTTACCCTGTCTGTTAAAAAGCATAAAGATAGTTGTTTGTTCAAAGAAAAAGAATTTATTTGTTTCTTCGAGGATAAACAGGATTGCAATACTTAACCAAAACAAATGCATGCCTTTTACAGTACCTGAAACATTACTTTGGCCTCAGCAGCTCCTTGAAATCTTGCATTTTTTCCAAGATCTGTCTCTATCAATCAAGCTGAACAGTAATCCAGCCACTGGCAGTCACACTGAAATGTGACCGCGTGGGCTACTCAAGAAGACAGCACATAGTAAAAATGGGTTACATTGGACCTAAAGACTCACACTATGTATGTCCTCTGAATATAACTTACTAAACACACACTATAGAACAACTATGTAACTGCAGGGTGAGAAGTCAACTCATAATGCTGTAATAAACCAGTATTTCCTAGATGTTGCTTTCCAAGACTCATTCATTATAACCCTTTACTTCCAGCAAAACGTTCTGACTGCTAGACAAAACCCCGAATATAAACAATCTTCAAAGTCCTGCTTGTCTTCCCTGCCTCCCCCTTATTAATTAATTTTCACTAAATTCATTGTACCACCTGTCTCAGTAGGAAAAGGCACTCACTGAGGTGACCCTCAAAGTCACCCCAATCGTGCTGGGTAAACAGGCTGCTGCCAGTAGCAACTTCTGTGAAATGCAGATGCTGCTCCTTACAAATACAATGTTTTTGGAATTCACTGAGCTTGTCAAGTTGGACTGGGATCTTTAATCAAACAGTATTATTAAAAAAACAAAACAAATCTAAAATCACCTGCTAAGCCAGGAGTAACTGAGACACACTTCTACAGAAATCATGCTTGCACTACATGATGTAAAGTAATAATGACAAAATAATAACATAGTTTTCTTTCCATGTTCAAATGTCAAAAGACAGACACATCCCCATATTTTTCCCCTTCCTTCTCTCCACCATGCCCACCCCCTCACAGGCTTTACGCTCAGAAAGAGTGGTGGGGATTTCAGCTGGAAACCTGATAAACCCTGAACTTACGTGCTGGAAGAATTATTTTGCATGCTAAATAACAGTTATCAAAATTAAAACAATGCAAAGCTGGGAGTTTTTAAACGGGATGACCCCTTGGATCAAGCAAGGCAATCAAAATAAGAAAGCAAAGGGAAGCCACCTTGTCCACTAGGAGTTTTTCTGCTTGCTTCTTGGTAGGCTTCTCAAGACCAATCGTATCAAAATAGGAGTCTGCAAACTTAACTTTGTGATCTCAAGAGCTGGGCTGTAACATCCACAGAAGTATTTGTGAAGCCAGCATTATATCGTGTCTAGGAATAATTGAAGTTACACTTTCATTTTCTATGTTTCTGAAGGAACTACATGTTCATTCATGCTGACAGAAAGTTGTATTCTGGATAGAAATGATACAAGTCCGTGCATCTAAGAGAAGGGAAAGAAAAAAGTCAGGTCTTGACATCAATTTTCTTGAAGCAAAATAAACCACAACAGCCAGTCTGATGGAGGAACCAGGGGCAACAACTCCACAATCTTTTGGACATTTTGGACAATCTATTTCAGCTCATGAGAACAGATTTTTTTTTCCCCTAGAATCATAAGCATCTGAAGTTGTTGATATTAGTCTGTGGGGCAAGAGAATTATTTCTAATTCCTTCAACGGAAGATCTTTGCAAATTGTTAGTCCTAATGATGTAAAGCAGGAAATTTGGAGACCTTACATAGCCAGCTCTGAAGTAGGATAAACACTTATAAAATAATTCAGATCCCTGATG